GTAAAGCCCGAACTGGTGCGATCCATGGCGAAGGATTGCAATCCTGCGGGCAGGACTTACTTTGGAAAAGTTTGGGGACTTTGTGAGTAGGGGATCCACCGAAGCAAGGGAAAAATGGTGTAAAGACTCCTCCTCCTTTAAGAAAGGAGCGGCAGTGAACAACATGGATGAACTGACCTGTACTCCCCCATTCCCTGTCTCCCTGCGCCGCTGGGGGGAAGGCAGAGCCAGGAACAAAAGGAAAATAGGGGGTGGGGAGGTGTTGTTTTAAGATGGGGCCTTGTTTTCTCTTTTCTCCTCTCAAGTAACCAGTTTCGTTCCCTTATGTTTCTTGTTAAGTAACTGTTAATAAATTGTTCTGGTTTATGAAGAAAGCCTGAGTCATGTTTTGCCCGAGACCATGGTTGGTGGGTGCTCCCTTTTCGGTTCTTGTCTCGACCCTCAGTCCAAAAACCACGACACTGCCCCACTACAGAGCTGCCACCCTTTGAACCAGACAGCTGGGAACGCTAGTCTCTACTTTGGAGAGGCTGCAGGACTTACCCAGCAGGATCTGCAGAGCATTGGTGTGCAGCTCTAGGCTTTCAGTCTGCTGTTCCACAATATCCATGCTCTCAGTGTCCTGATTATAGTAGCTGTACACACAGGAGTAGGCCAGCACCTGGAGCAGTACAGATCATGCTGTAAGCATTCTCCTTCAGCTTCAGAGTGAGCAAGAAGAGAGTAGCATCAAACTCTTCCAGACTTCATTACTTATCAGTGGCTGAGAGAAGCCTGACAGTGCTTCTGGTCTGTGGCGATGGCCCAGTGAACCATAATGTCAAGTGACAGCAGTGCCAGGCTACCTAGAGCTACTCGTAGGGTTGGAAATGAATGTGGAATTTTGTACTGAAGTCTGAAATAACTGATAGCTCCCACCTGCAAACCATCACAAGAACACAAACTGTAAATGCATAACGAGTGTGACTGACCAGCAGGTAGAGAGTCAAAACAACCAGCACACAGAATCTCCACATTGCTGGGCAGCCCAGGCTGAACTCAAGTGGCAATGAACCAAGAGAACTGAGCCCAAAGGGAAGCAGGCATGGTGCTACACTGCACCAAGAGCCCATGACAAAGTCATTTTAACAAGTGACAAACTACTGTTATGAATGAATGACCCCTACAGCCATTCAGGCACCTAGCAGGAAATAAGACCACTGTTTCCACTTAAGGAAATGGGCCAGAAAAGCCAGCAACAGCAACAGTGATAAGTGTCCTGGCAAACACAGGGGCTATCACACTGCAAAGACAAAACTGGGTCAGACACCCTTGTTCCACATGCTTCTCTCAAAACCAAGTCCGCCTGCACAAACATACATATTGGAAAGGCAATACTGCAAAGGCAATTCCCACCTCCTTCCCATGTTTCAGGGGACAAAAGACATTGCAGGTCTATAGTGTCAGAGGCTTACTGCACACATCCAGCACTACAAATCCTTCATAATGTGGCTATCGGGGCATGCAGTAGCTAACTCAGTGCTCCCAAAACACCTACAGCTCATGAAATGAAGTTAAGAGAGGAAAATCATAACATGAGCATCAAGAGGGACTTCCTAATTTTAACACAGCATCAGGAGAGGTTTTCAAAAGGTAAGTACCACCACTGGGGCATTTCAAATTGGAATGGACCAAACCCAGTATATGAAAACCCCAAATACAGATCTTTGTGCTGATTCCATGATGTCAACTTGGGCAAAGCTCCAAATCCTATGACCTGTGAGGAACACTGCAGAGAGCCCAACTCTGAGTGAGAACAGGGGAAAGTAGACATGAGCTCTTTCTCTGTCCTGATGCTATTCCTCCCCTCAAGCTTTTTTTGTCTTCCCTTGTTTGGAGTAGAGAAAGGTTGGCATCTCCTCACTTCAAGAAAGGCGTAAAATACCAACAGAATTAGGGCGAAACCTCAGCAAGTCTGTTATCCAGCCTTACCTTCCGTGCCTGTTCTAGCATTTTGCAGGCATCAAGAACAAAAGTCAAAGTCCTAATTTTTGGCATCTCACTGATGGAAGAAACTCTGTTTCTCAGACTCATGGCAAATTCCTGCAATAACCTCAGGAGATAAAAAATAGTCAACGTCAAGCTCCACAAGATCAAAAAAAATAGCACCTTTCACACAGACAACTGCTAATCATCCTGAAGTGCCATCCCAGAAGATGTAGGCAGCAGGAGAGCATTTACTGCATTCAACTGTTATACCTCTACCGTGTCATCACTTCAACTTTTTACAGTATCTCAGCTCTAGACAGAGTTCGGCCTTCTTTCAATTGCCATTGCTTCAAAGTACTGTATCAGTTTGAGCACACGAACACCACAAGTCAGGTGTTCAGTTTCCACAATGGACTTTGTAGAAGAAAGCAGGCCATGAACTATCCCTTATGTCAAAGGAGGGATGAAATGACCAGGCATCCTCATCCGGACTGAAGCCTGCTTCTTAGCTTCAGGTGAAATACACTGAGACACAACAGAAACTGTCCTGCTCACCAAGGCTAAAACAACAGAGTCACCATCTGCAAAGAAAGGAGGAGGCCTTACCCTTGCATGATGATGGAAGGTGCATCTCTCATTGTAATCCTGAAAACGCTTCTCCTGCCAAGCTGCTTTGCTCACCTGAAAGGAAAGGTAGAAGTAACCTTGTCCTGGTTTCAGCTGGGACAGTTAGTTCTTTTTAGCAGCTAGAAGAGTTCCGTGTTTTGGTTTTAGTCTGAGACTCCTTCCGAGAAGAATGCTGATAGCGCACTGATGTTTATAGCTGGCACTGAGACCTCAAGGACTTTTCATCTTGCCATGTTTTTGCCAGTGTGCAGGAGCACAACAGGCTGAGAGGGAGCATGGCCGGGACAAAGGGTCCGCAACTCCCCTTATGATTTGAACTTATACATAGGATTGAGGGCCAAACTGGCCAATGAAGTATTTCATATCATGCAGCATCATGCCCAGTATAAAAATGAGGGTCAGCTGGAAAGAAGGGCCTTTGCTCTTCCAGGGCTCCCACTCTTGGATTCTTGGGAGTGCTATCTCTCTCTTCCACCCTCTTTTCGGGCCTCTCACTTATCTGGTATTGTGGTGTTGGGACTTATCTGTTTTGGGATCATTAGTCTGGGATGGGACAGGCCTTGGTCAAGGGGTGGTGAGTAAACACACTGTGCATAACGTGTTTGTATATATTATTGTCATTATACATATGTATATATTTATATATTAGTAACAGTATTACTAAATTGTTCTTATCTCAACCCACAGGTCTCAAAAAAAAAATTCTCTTCCCCAACCCCGGGGGTGGGGGAGGGTGAGCGAGCAGCTATGTGAAGTTTAGTTGCCAGCCGGGCTAAACCACAACAAACCTGTAGCAATTTCCCTCAAGTACCAGGGTTGCCTGGAAATAGCTACCATGCATACAGGCTTTGACTACTATCAGTGTTATTGGTAAGCACCCAACACCCAGAGTAAAGGGCACAAGTGGAGATCCTCACCCTCTCTCTGAGAAGCCAGATGCATCTGAACACAAGCATAAACCACTGGGATATAACAAACCACTCACCATAGCAGAGCAGTTGTAATAATCCTTATGAGCTGGCCTCCAGGGCTTGAGGCAACGCCAACAGAAGCCATGATTACACTTTGCACACGTCATACTGTACAGTAGGAGAACAACAATGGAAATCACTCAGTCCTAACAGCCACCTGCAGACAGATCCTCGCAGTGCTTCTCTACATCACAGGGCTGGAGTGTGCAACCCAGTCACACTTGTTCACTATGCATTTCCCTGCAGGTATTTTTTAAAGCTTTTCCTAGTGGCATATGATGTTCAAAACCAGTCATTGTGTCTACAAAAATGAGCTAGGTAAACTGCCAGCATGATCTCACAGTACCAACTTAACAAGTACCTGAAGGGTGAACTAAGCATTCCACAGTTTGAAGCAAGACACACATGAGCACCTCACCTCTTCCCTCAGTAATGCAGCACTCCACAGTGCAGAAAGGTACTGTACAGCCCTTGGGCCACACATAATGTGTGGAGACAAATCTCAGCTGGGCACTAAGGGCTGTGCCAGTGCAAGAAAGAAACAAATGGCAACTCCTAAGCCCTGGCTTCAAAGCTGAAGGTGACTCCCCTAATCAAGTAAAAAGCTGCCAGAGACTCAAGCCAATTCAAAAGAGGCAGTTAAAAGACAATTGGTTAAAGTTACAAGAATAGGTGAGCATGAAAGAAAACATGGTGCTGAGATATCCACTCCCCTAACCTGTACCTCTGCATGTCTATAGCAGATTCTGAGAGCAGACAAGCGTGCGCAATAAAAACGTCCTGAAAAATGAGTTTTAGTTCTACTACAGAGCTATCAATGGATTTAACTCTGAATGCTGGGGAACATTTTGCTTTTCCTAGGAATTAAAAGCAATCACTCATTCCTCTAAAACTATAAACCAGATGTGCTATAACTCCTACTCCACAGCCAAAAGAAAAAGAAAAAAAAAGCAGAACGGACCTAACCATATGTCTTTGCCCTCTCCTGTCCCAAATAGCAAACAAAATAGATACTCACTGCAGGCACCCCTCATTTTTCTCTATCTGAGCCTGGCAGCTTGGGCAATGCTTCGAAATGAGCTTAGCCAGATGTTTGCTTTGGGCTTCACTTGTCATTCCCTCATAGTATCCATCATCATCCACCCACTGAGACATGTGGCTGCAGCTGGCAGGATAATGGGCCTGAAAGAGACAGCAGCCAGTCAATCATACAAAAGAAGAATGGTGTGTGCCAAGCCCAAGACAGTATTGTCTGTGATTCAGCTTAACCTCACCTCTGGGAAGTTGCAGTTGAAGCAGGATATCCAGGAGCATTTAGAACAGGCTGCCCCATAGCCAAGTCCATCCTTAAGGAGGATCTGATCACAGCCCTGAGGGTTGGTGCACCATGTCAGGTTGGAGCAACACTCAACATAGCCTCTGAGAAGGGCTTTTTCGTACTGCAATAAGAAGCCAGGAAGGAGATTTAAGGCAGAGAAGCTGCATGGTTAGGCCTTACAGCAGGGGGCTCGTGCCTCTGGGCTCTGCATCTGACTGACAAACTGCTCACAACAAAACAGCACTGAGTTAGTTTACTCTTTCATTCCCCGTGTGTCAATTCCCCACCCCTCATGTCATATCTGGAGGCTGCTTCATGTAATCACAGAATACCTGAGGCTGGAAGGCACTTCTGGGAGATAAAAACTAGTCCAACCCCTCCAGCTCAAAGCAGGGTTGCTCAGGACCATGTGCAGTTGGGCTTTGAGCATACTCAAGTATAGAGTCTACAAGTCTCTCTGCCCAACGTGTTCCAATGTCTCATTACCCTTACTGTTAGAAACAAAAAGTTTTCTTACATTTAAATAGAATTTATTGTACTTAAATTAGTGCCCACTGCCTTTATCCTTTCACTAGATATCACCAAGAATAATCTGGCTCCTTAATCCCATTTGTGTATTTATGCATTGATAAGATCCACTCCTGAGCCTTCTCTTCTCCAGGCTAAACTCCCTAGCTCTCTCAGCTTCTCCTAGAGGTGTTCCATAACCTAAATCATCTTTGTGGCCTTTTTCTGGATTCTCCCCAGTATGTCCATGTCTTTCTTGTACTGGTGAGCCCAGAAACAGACATAGTACTCCAAATGTGGTGTCACAAGCACTGGGTAGAGGGGAAGGATCACCTTTCTCAGTCTGCTGTCAATGCTCTTCCTAATTCAAACTAGGATGCCAGTGGACCTTCATAGCCACAAGGGCACACTGCTGGCTTATCTTCAAGTTGTTGTCCACCATGATCCCATTTTTTTTTTTTCGCCGCAGGGCTGCTTTCCAGATGGTTGGTACATACTGTTGCATTGGGTTATTCCACCTGAGGAGCAGGACTTGGCATTTCCCTTTCTTGAACTTAATGACATTTTTGTTTGCTAAGTTCTCTAGCCTGTTGAGGTACCTCTGAACGGCAGCACAACTATCTGGAGCATCAACCAGTCCTCCCAGATGTTTATCATCTATAAATTTGCTGAGGGTGCACTTGGTGTCATCATCCAGGTATGAAGACGTTAATGTTAAACATTAGTATCAACCTCTGGGTTATACCACTAGTGACTGGCCTCCAGCTGACCTTTCTGCCATTGACCATAACTCTTTGAGCTCAGCAGGCCATCTCACTATCCACTCATCCAGCTTGTACTTCATCAGTTTTTTTTCTATGAAGATGTTGTGGATGATAGTGTAGAAAGCCTTACTAAAGCTGAGATAAACAACATTTCCCCTCATCCGCCAAGCCAATCATCTCACCATAGAAAGCTACCAGGTGCACTTTTTAACTTTTTTCTGATTTTAAGTTCCTCAACAGACTTTTGCTTAGTTACATGACATGCAAAGGGGAAGGAGACTTGCTTTGCCCATAGCCTCTAGATATTACTCCAGAGGACAGGAAAATTAGTTATCAAGACGGGACCGTTCATGCAACGGGACCCAGGGATGCAACTACACTACACATAGTAGCTTAGTTTTCTGTGCTCAATCACTCTAGTGTAAGGAGGCAAGGGAAGGGATTTCTCACAGCTATTTCGCTCTGGTGACACAATTAGATACCAGGAACAGTTTGGCCTCCCAAGTACAAGACAGACATTAACAGGCTAGAGAAAATGTGATCCATAGGCCACCAAAACAGTCAAGGGCTAGAGCACAGAACGTACGAGGGGAGGTTGACAGAGCTGGGTTTGTTCAGCATGGGGATAAGGCAGCAGAGGAGGATCTTACCACTGCCTAGAGCTACCTAAATGTAAGCTGCAGAGAAGACTGAACCTGAAGCAGTATGTTTTAACTTCAGCATTAGATCTTCACACATAGAGGAAGCCTGGCTATTTATGAGCACAGGGTGGGACCAGACATCTCCACAGATTATTGCAATCTAAATTATTCTCTATGCCTGTACATGTGACACTGCACAAGGCGTTAACGCTCCAGCCATAACACTTACTGACATTAACAGTAATGTTAACATTTCAGTGACAGGATCAGAAGCAACTTGTTAAAATTGGCTGCAATTAATGTTGACCTGCAATAATTATTTTTTTTATAAAATAGCTGTAGCAACAGCATATTAAATCCTGCTCTCAGACAGGTATGACCACAGGATTTGAAAACCCAGTAAGAACTAACTGTCCAGATACATGCACTAATTCTTCAAGCATTTCTTACAGAAAATAAGACAAAAAAGGCATTGAAGGAAATGCTTTTCTGTAGCCTTGCCCATTTTGGTTGCTAATTTGCAGGCTTAAAGAAAAGTTATATGTCTTTATGACTACTGTTCATTTCTCCTTATGACTGTTCACACAGGATCATAATGACAGTAATGAGCTGGAAGAGGAGAAAATTTTTGGAGAAGCAATTGCTGGTGGAGATCAGGCAAACAACAGAGCAGTGAAAACAGATGACACACTTATTCTGTCCAGCAATTAACAAAAATAGTCTGTTGTATGACAGCCACAGCTCTGCCATTAGGTGGGGAGGGCATTCAGCTCTAAGTAATAACTAAAAAAATAGGGAAAAAAAATACTTTCTACCTCAGAACAAGCAGCTCCTGCTGCTCCCTGATTGAGGACTAGGGTGAGCAGAGATCAGGAAGCCTGGTTTACAGAAGTCTGTAGACCCACACAGACTTTCATCAGAGTGAAGATTAAGTTTGATGTGGTAACTACTGTCATCTTTACAAAAACCTGAGGTGCTCAAAGTCGGAGACTGATGGAAGAGAAAGGACATTGTGGTTATTGATGCAGTAATAAAATGAAATTTCTCAAATGTTCTCTCTTCATTTGCCCTAGATTTTACAATTGTTTCCAGCACACCAGCAGAGGATACTTGTCATGACCTGCTACCATGGCTCTCACCTGGTCCTCAATTAAGGATGCACCTGAAGTGTTGTTTGCTGGAGACATGTTTAGCGGAAATACCACTGTGCTCTTTTTGCTGATGTTACACTTTCCTGAATAGTTGGTATCAACCATGATCAGAGACAACAGATACTACTGGACAGAAATCTGGTCTGCCTCAATTATCACACTGCCAGTCTTAGCAATAGGAAGGGGAAAAGCAGAAGCAAGATTATCTGCTAGAACCGAACAAAATGAAACAGAACTTGAACACCCAGTAACTACTTCACCTTGGCTATAATCTCCTTGGACGAAATGATGGAACAAATGAAGGCTGTAGTTGGCTGTGCACGGCACTCGGATATGGGACAGGTGCAGTTGACGATCATGTTCTGTTCGATGCGAGTTGTGAGATACTCACTCCAACAGGGCTGTGAAGGCAGAAGAGGAGAGAGCAGAGCTAAACAGGAGCTGCACCACCTGGGTGATGTGACCCTGGAAGCCCACCCCACCCAGCAGTGGATGCATGAAACCACCATAAATCATGGATAAGTACTCAAAAGCACAAAAGTGGGAACAGACTAATCAAGAGCTGAAGGATCACAACAAACAAGGGAACATCTTGAGATCAAACAATCAAAAATCTCTGAGAAAAGAGAATGTATGAGCTCTGTGAAAATCACCTGGTAACAGCTTCAGACAAAGAACAGCTACTCCAACCAAGCAGCAGCAATTCCCTACCAAGTTATTGGAGCCCAAGACCCCAGGACCTTCACCTTGCAGCAGTAGTGCATGCAGCAGAGGGTTGGTGGCTTCTCAGTGGGACATAGCTGGTTCACACAGACTGGGCAGTGGGTTCCTGGGCTTGGGGGAGGCTGGGCATCCTGCACTTGCAGCCCTGAGGAGATGAGCAGGGTCTCTGGGTTCTCCACATAGCACTGGATCAGGAAATCCACATTCCACCTGCAGTGCATGAGGAGGTGGCGAGCAACATCATCCGGGATGCTGAGAGTATCCTGGACTTGCTGTACTGTCTGGTTCATGAGCAGCTTTGCCTCCTCTGGACTAAGCGTGTGCCCCATTGGCACTTGCAGCATTGCCATGAGAAACTCCTCTGACCTGCCTATGCCAGGATTCAACCTGACATGGAGAAACATGTCACAACTATACAGGGTGGAGATGCACACCCCTCCACACCTGCTGACATGAAGCCCTACCAATAAAGGCAGTCTGTGCTGTCCTCATCCGGAGATGCCTCTGGTGGCCTGCTCTGCAAAACCATTTGTGCCTGGCCACCAAGAGGCGTTGTGGGTTTAGCAGAGATGTATTCCAAGACATGAGGCCTCTCCTCCTGGCGCCGGAGATAG